ACACCATTCGACCCGCCACTTTACTGCCCGCCCTCACGCATCGATGCACGATACTCTCTTTCCCCTCTTTTTCGCTTTTTCTTCTCTCTCTCTCTCTCTCTCTCTCCCTAGCTCGTTTCCCTTGATTATACACGTACGCGGCCCGTGTTTCGTTCCGGGGCCTCTCACGTTGCGGCCTTTTTCATCAGACCTCTGCTTCGATCCAAAGGGAAGAAAGTAGTCGAGTGTGAAAGTATTCGACATTCCGTGGAAAATATATCAAAGTCTGGAGGAGGTGTGCAATGGTAATTAGTTCGAAAACGTGCGTGGGAAAAAAGGACAGTTGGATCGAGACAACGTTTCGTTCCCTCCTCTCGCGCAACGAGCTCATCCCAACTGAAAGTAGTACTTTTAACGATAGAAGCGAGGCAGATAGAATCTGTTTAAAAGTAGACCGGGGAAATTGATAACGTCTACGACTATTTCCGTTCCGATCGACGAGTTTCTCATCTCTCTCGAAAATCCTCCTTTCGTCGAAAAATCCCTCTTTTCCTCTCCTCGAAAAAGACGAAGAAGAGAAAAACATCGCGAACAACAAGTGTTCAGGACGAGAAAAAGATTGAACAGCATCCACGTTGAATTATCCACTTTGACGAATCGACGATCGATTACCCGAGGATCTCGTGCATCCACGAGTAATTCATACGTGTTCCGACAACGCGTAATCCGGAAGTACGTGATTGCTCGTCACCCGAGCCGCGCCGTGTATTCGAGATCTCGCGCGGGGGGGAGGAGGGGGAGGGAAAAATGCCTGGCGACGGGTTAAAGTTACAATTCGATCGCTGGGTGATAAGGGTGATCGGATCGTGGACGCAATAGGGCAAATCCGGTGGAGCGTCCACGCGGTGGAACGCGATCCCGAGGCGCGATAAGTACTTTATAATCACCCTGTGCACGCAGAGGAGGGTTGGTCTTGGCCTGGCTGGTTGGTTATTCCTACCTGGCCTGAAGGGAGAAACGCGAGGGAGGCTTAAGATGATAGACGAGCCGATACGTTCCCACGCGTAGGTCCCGCAAAGATGTTTCAGGCAACCCGTTCGCCACCTCTTCTCCTCCACCTCTTCTTTCCTCGTCGGTGTAGTGGGCGGTTTGCAAGGCCCCCGAGGGGCCCAGCCGAGGAGGGCCCTAATCACAGGCTCGCCCTCGCTCGTACGCACAACTCGTACGCGTTCCTTCCTTAAACGCTCGCGAAGGGCGAATGTCCTCCTCCCCTCCTTCCTCCGGCTGAAAAAACCGCGAACGCTGTTGAATAATGCGCGCTGTTAACTCTCTCCCCCACACATCGATTCCCAACCCTTCCCTTCGTGCGCACCCTCCCTTCTTTTTCTTTTCTTTTCTTTTTTTTTTTTCTTCCACCGAAACCGGAGAATTCTCTCTCAAAGGTTTCCCCTTTGTTCCGCTATCTTAATCCCGACCCAACCGCTTTCCTTCCTTCGTTTCCTCGCCGTTAATATTATTCGCTCGGCATCGCTCGTTTTCCCTCCCACGATCCTCCTCCTCCTTCGCCTTTTCTCTTCTTCTTCTCCTTCTTTTTTTTAAGAGGACACATACAGCATTTTACCACGGCCAGACGAGAATACTCTATCTACTTGGAAAATCAAAATTGAGAGAAAATCGAAGAGACTCGTGTACTTCGTTTGGCTGTTAATTCTTTTTATTTTCGCATCCTTAATTTTTCGGTACATTTTGTCGTACACGCTCATTTTCTCGGTTTCCTTCGCACTTTCTTCCTCCTCCCCCTGCTATACTATCTCATCCCACGAGGGCGAGGGAGAGCAGGATGCACGTGTCCGCGTTGCATATTATATGCCCGCCACGGAGCGCGATACACGCGCGATTTACACGCACACACGCGCGCGGGGAACGGGTTTACACGGCTCGGCGAAATAAAATTATCGCGAGCGCTTTACGTTCTAAGGTAAATCTTCTCGGAAGAAGGGAGGAGCGGTTAAACTAACTTTCGCGTGGCCAGCGCTTTCGTCCTCTCTTTACTGCCGAGCCGGTATCGATTTACGAGAATCGAGAACACGTCCCTTGACCTTGGATTATTAATTCCAAATTGGAAATACGAAATTTATTTACATTTTCCCGATCGATTTTTCGAATCGAAACGAATAATGAGGGAGGCAAAAAGAGAAAATTGGCAAATTCAAAGTTCGTTCTTCGACCAATTGTATTATTATCCGTTTGAACGAGAATAAATGCATAGAAAAATTGTGCCCAAATTATGGAATCGGAAAGACGGATAATATAGGAATAGAACAGAATCGAGCAGAGATCGAGCAATCGTTTTGTTACTTCTACTCGTACGAATTACTCGATCCGAACGAAATTCTACGAAATTGTCGAGTGAATTTTCAACTCAATGATTTCCAATTTCCCCTCTCGTCCTTGAAAAATATTGACCAGCGATAATTCCATCTTCATTTCTTTTGTTGCCGATATTCTCCGAAAAAGAGGGTTAAAATTACGACACGTAGGAAATTGGAAGAATTTCGCTGAACGGAAGAAGAGAAAGGGTTTCGTCTCGGAATAATCGGAAGACGGGGGAAAATATGGATCACGGAGGATAGACGATCTTGCCGCTCATCGCCCGCGGGACTTTCAAGGCAAAGGACGAAATTTATCGCGCGCTAATGCGCTTTAAACTCATTGGACGTAAATTTATCAGACGGTCGTGAGGTTCCCGCGCTGTCGCCGCGGGCTCTGCTTTTCGACGTTGCGAGGGAGAGGCGAGGTCAGAGAAGCATAAGCGGACGAGAGAGTATATTAGCTCGTGTGCCTCGAGATCAAGTCTCGTGCATCTTAAAATTTTTCCAATCTGATTACCAATCGTGCAATTAACGTAATTAACGAACGAGCGAAAACGATTCTTCTTTTCGAGAAGTTGGGTGAAAAGATGGATCACGAGCGATCCATCTCGTCTATTAAAAAGAACTGGAATTATTATACTTTATATTTTATAAACGAAGAGGATTACGTTACATTACATTACGTAAATCATTTTCACGAAATTTCATTTTTCGATCCCTCGTCGATGCTTTTACGATTGCGCGCTCGATTGACGCGTGGTTAAGCAATTTATATAAACGAAAATAGAATTTCGTGCGTCCAAAGATGGAAGGCGTCCCTCGCCGATTTACGAGGATTACGAGGTTGATTGGCCGGTTAGATTTCGTGGGAGATAGGCAAAGGAAGGCATCGATTCGAATGGAACGAACGGTTTCCTGGTGTCGGAGATTCCGATCTCGATCTTTATTCGCGTATCGAACTACCGCCGGGTCCCTCGATCCGCGAATGGATCCACCAATACTGTAATTCACCGTGGGTGGCACGTGTCGAGTCACCGTCGAGTCCCCTCTTCTTCATCGCGATGTTTATGCACCGCGGTTTAAAGCGACGTCCACACGACGATCGAACGTGTCACGACTCCTATGGGACTTTCTGATTAATGTTTCCTCGCGATAACGAAGCAACCTGGATTAACCGTCCAGGTAACGGTATGCATCTTGGTGGGAAGAGGCTGACTTCGAGGCTGGCGTTATTTAAAACGTTTAAACCCTTCGAAAAAAAAAAAACGAAGGAAAAGGATATCGAAAAGTATTTGAAAAAAATGATCATGCGGAAATTAATGATGGTTAAGCAGGTTCAAGAACATCGAACCTTTGGTGTAAATTACGAGATAGAAATATTCGATTGTGCGTGAGATTGTTCCAAAATTTATACGTCATCTTTTCTTTTTCTTTTATCCTAGAGATTATTAATTAATAATTAAAATAAGTTTCAACCTTTGACGTCGAATAACAAATTTCTATCAACTTGGAAACTAATTGTATTATATGGTACAAGGGATGAAGCATATATATATATATATATATACCGAGTTTCAATGTGGATCGATCAAAATTTCTAAACCGAACGAGTCGAAAAAGTTTTTGCGATCGATTCGAATTATCCTCTCGGACGTTGTGCACGATTCTTAAGATATCGAGGAAGAATCCACGAACGACAGTAATGTTTATCGACGATGAGGCAGGATTAAACGAAGGTGACGGCACGTTCGCGTGTCGTGGGATCGTCAATGCTACCAGTCGCCTTGTCGGATTACCCTTCGAATCGACGGCGTGTTGTTTGTTAATTAATAGCCTAACTTAATTTTATATTCTCTTCGGTATAATATCGCGAAGCGAAGGCTAATCATTCTTCGAAACCGCGAAATGAGTTTGGCAAAACTTGTTTTCCGCGCAACCTCGTCGATTATTGGCGGCCCAATCTTTTTCGAAAAAGATCGTATCGTAAGGAAAATCATCGATATACATCTTCGAATCAATGTGAAAAAATTAAATCATCGATAACGGCACGAGATTCGAAACATCGGGGAAAAAAAGAAAAAAAGAAATAAGCAAATTCCATGGAAACACGCACGGCCGGATTGAATGGAAATATCGTATCGGTGGTTGTAACGATGTTGGTAACGGGATCGTTAATATGTTTATTGTTGGCCAACCCTGTAAAATGGAAATGGCCGCGCTATTAAATCGTACCGTTGTCTCCCATAATCCCATGAATATCAGCTATAACTCTTGGCGCATCGTTGTTTTATTCGTGTCTCATAAACGAGGAAATGTATCAATTTCCACGTAGATTCAAAGGTATCCCATTATTAATGCGAGGCGTTGTATCTTTATTTCGTTGATGGAAAAAAAAAAAAAAGATTTCCAACAACGATTGTGCCACTGAACGTCGATCACAAAAAAAAAAAAATAAATAAATAAAACAAAATTTAAATCGTTGTGCTCGTGCGAAAGAAAATGCTTTTTTCACACGAAATATATAATAATAAAAAAAAAAAAAAAGAACGAAAAGAAAAGAAAAGGAATAAGATAAAATCGAAGGAAAAATAAAACATCGAATTCCACGATAATTCTCTCTCTGCTTACCGCACATTCTCTATTTTCCAGGACATCCGGAGCGCATAACTGTCGTCTCGACTGGAAGAACGATGGCGCGGAAATGCGTGAAACGTAAGCGATATCCCCCTGCTACCTCGGAACCACGTTTGAAACGTAGCTTCTTGACGCGATCAACGGGGAAATCATCGAATCGCGGGCAAAAGGGAGGCACGGGACCTCGAGTCGGGTGAAAGGTCGCATTCGACGCCGATCGAGATCGATCCACCGTTGATCCACCCGTCCTGGGTGGAGGACGGAGGGAGGGTGGAGGGGGAGGGGGTGGGTGACGATCGATTTCACGAAGAAATACAGGGGAGGCGCGGACGCGTTCGAATTCGAGCCACGTAGCAGCCGCCAATCGGGCTGCTCCTCGAGGAAATCTTTGAGGCTTTGGACTATCATCCGAGTGGGTGGATGGTGTGGATGCTTTCGTAACCAATAAACCGATCCGCCGGGGCTCGATTCAATTAGCGGTTCTCGGCGAGGAATCGAGAACGAACAGGCTTTCCTCTCCACTCCTCTTCTCTCGTTGGAAAGG